TCCGAAAACACTAGGTGAAGCAAAAGTTGAAGAGGACAAGTAACATTTGATGTAGAAAATGGCACGAATCAAATCCAATTTATGAGACTGGAGAGAAAGTATTATTAGGATTAAAGAATGCTTGGCCAAATAAACAGACATAAAATGGCCATAAGTTTTTATCTAAATTGCCAATTCAGAAAAATTGGTAACGGCTCTAGATTTAATGCTCTGAGATTGTGAAGAAACAGCCAAGATCAAAAGATCAATGAGTGATGCAGATTCCAGCAAAGTGGATACAGAAACACTTGCCATCCCTGCACTGGTTTGTGGCTTAATTTCATCTGATCTGTAGGACTCATCCAAGAAATGATTGATATGTCTCAACAAAAACTTAACATGACTTTAATTCTTTAGCAGCAATCTCTCCAAAGGCCACAGAGCAAAGCTTGGCATTTTCTTCTGAAAAATTAAATTAACACACTTCCCACTTTCCAAAGCAAAAGAAATTTACTGTTATAGTTGTTGAGAGGAAATAAAAAGAATTTCAAGAATATTTGTGCTTCTGAGGCTTAGGCAAGACTTTAAAGACTTCGAAACCTATTCTGGCAACATTTCTCTTTATTTTTTTAATTCTAGTGTGGCATAGTGGAAAAACACAAGCTTCGAAGTTAGAGACCAACATTCAAATCCTAGTTCAGTTACTGAGCTGTGTGTCTCTGAAGACTTTAACCTGAGTCTCAGTTTCCTCATTTATAAAGTAGAGATAATACCTCTCTACTACACGGGGTTGTAGTTGTAGGAATAAGAGGTAATATACTTAAGGTGCTTAGCATGGTGCCTAGCACACAGTAGATAGCAATAACTGACAGATCCTCATCAATCTTTGTGTTTAACTCTAAGTTCCTTAGTCTTTAATTCTTTCCTTCTTTTCTCTCTCAGCTTGCTTTATTATTAGCTACAATATAGAAATAAAATATTCTTAATTTTAGATGGGCTTTTTCAAAGAGATGTCATATTTTCTATCCATAATTTTTAACTAGATAAAAGGAACAGTACTCTTCCTTAAGAAGACAATCTCATAAAGTTGTCAAAAAGAAGAGACAAAAATTGAGTTTTAATTTACATGATCTTCTAATCGTTTTTTTGTTCATGCGATAATACATAGTCTAACAGATTTACTAGTATTATTTTATAATGAAAAAGTGGTTTATGTTAAGAAGGGAATGCCTTAAGATTACCTCAAAGTGAATGTTTGGCCATGTCAATATAGGCAGTAATTTAAAAAATTTTTGAAACATAATGCAATTTTTATGTTGAGAAGTAGGTCCTGTAAATCTGTTTTCTCCAAATTGAATATCACTTACCAGACAGCCACTGTATAGGATGAAATAAATCAATGCTGCTGAAGACTATAAATACTGTGGTACAGATGGGTAGAAGTAGCACTGACCAGACAATACTTGCAACTATCCTCCAGCCCAAAACCTATAACAAACAAATTCACTCAATCATGAAGTCAGTTAAACTATTTCAGTTATGCAAATCCTATCTTTTCATACAGGATATATATCACTAATATTTATACCCAGATCACAGTCCAGGCAGCGATATAAACTTCAATGTTACTCTTAATAACTTCACATACCACTACAGAATCTTGTAACATCAGTGAATTAATGTTTGTATTAATCCAGAGTCAGGTGCCACATTAAATATCACAGCGGTGGGGGAGGCAGGGAGGGCATCTTACTTAGTTTCACGACTGTATTTTACAGCAACTTACACTTGTCTCTCTAGGTTTAATTGATAGATATATCAATATCTAAAAGCTGCATACATTTTATGAGCCATCTGTATATTGTAACTGTGTTTACAATTACTAGATATACACTCCTTATTGGGTGACCAATGCATCATATTCACATCTGAATCACCAATGCTCACCACGTAAGAGGCACAAGATTTACTGCTGAATAAGTGAATAAGAGAATGAATACTGAGGGGTTTTAAGCATGAAAGTGACACTCGAATTTATATTTTGGAAAGTAAAACACCCTTGTGTTTGTAAGGTGGCTTGATGAAATAGATCAGAGGGACAAGACCCAGACAGGAGACAGGAGGCAGTCCACCACAATTGCCCCAGCCAAAGATTACAGTCAGTGTCTGAAGGCAGGCAGTGGCAATAGAAAAGGAAAACAAAACAAAACAAAACTGCAGCCACATTTGTTTGTGAAATACAATCTACAGGGAATCGGTGATTGATAATGTAGGTGGTAAAGAATAAGTAAGACTTAAAGACACAAGTTTTCAGCTTGGGATATCGGGTAGACGGCTGTGCTATTGGGGTAGAAGCACTATTCTAAAAGTGATACTAATCCTATTTGTCTTCCACAGAATGGATGCAAAACTGTAACTTCAACTTCATTGAGGAAGTACCTCCTCATCTGGTCCCACAGTGCATACATTCCTAACTTAACAAAGAATACCTCTCCTGCTTACCTATTCCCAACTCCAGCCTCTGCTAAAGCCATGTATTCATATTCCTTCCAATTCTGGACATTCCTTCACACTTCTTATCCCAAGTAATCAAGTTATTTATTTTGCACCTACTAGGTACACCATCCCTGCATAGACTCTTCCCCCATTCTCTGCCCCAATTCCTATGCAGGCCAACCCTCCCGCTCTGGCCAATTTCCACTCAGGACTCCTCTCCCACCCTGTAATAAGCTTGCACTCAGGATGTCCCGCACCCATACACCCTGTAACCGGCTTTCCCTAACACGCCCCTCCCACCTTGTAAACAGCTTCCACTCAGGACGCCCCACGCAACCCCGTAATCAGTCCCTTAGGTGGTCCCCTCCCCACGCGCTTCCCACGCTACACTCCAGCCAGACCAGAGCGCACGCGCGGTCAGCCGGACCAGCCCGACCCCAGGAGCAGCCAGGCGCACGCCGCCGCGAGCGCAACACTCACGCGCCACAAGATATCCCGCGAACCGTCGGCACAGAGCCGATTCGCAGCCGTGGCCATGGTGATGGCGGCCCCTACTCTGAGAGGTGCAGGAGACTGTGAGCCCGCCCGCCACCGCAGTTCAAAGGGAGGAAGGCCCCAAGAGGACCCCTTCGGGGCTGCCTCAAACGCCGCCTGAGCGAGGTCCGGCCCAGGCCCTAACCCATCCCTTCGAAGTTTCGTCTGGACAGGTCCAACGGGCCAGAACTTCCCCGCAGATACGCCCCCATAAGTGTCCCGGGGCTCCAGAACACGCCCCCTGGAATCGAAAAGGTCTCTCCGAAGCAGGGTCCAGCGCGGCACCAGAAACGGGGGACGGCGCTGCTGCATGCCGGGAACTGTAGTCTCGAGCCCCATCTCCGCCCCCCACCGGAAGCAAGGAGTGTTGCATTCTGGGATTCGGAGTTCCAAAGTACAGCATGCTGGGTGTCGAAGTTTTACCTTGTGGCATGCTGGGAATCGTAGTCTGTTATAAGGCCTGTACTACCTAAATGGTCTATACAGTGTTGAAGGATCGGGATTCTACAGTTAGGAAGATCTGGCAAAATGATTTGCCCTCATTTCTCTGGATCTTACTTTGACCGTCTGAAAGTGAAATCAAAGGATATTGTGGCCTTCTCCACATAGGTACTAATTTTACTGAAATGGAAAAATTCTCTTACACTAGAGGAGCATTTAGTTTCATAAAACCTGGTTTCTAGTTGCAGCTCTGCTGGGTATTTCCTAAAAGGGCATGGAGAACACATACTCCCCAGGATAAACCTAAGTCTTTTTTTTTTTTTTTTAAACAAAATCAGTTTGAGTGGTTCAGCAATTGAAAATAAGGCTCCTCCCTTTTTCGATGTCCCCTCCTTGAACCTAGGCTAAACCTCTTGTTGGCTGTTGGGAAGGGCTGTCCTCTGCTGCTTGTTTCTTGGGAGTCAGATTTCAAAGGAAAGCGCAATGATGATAGAGGGAGATCCTTGAGGGAAAATCCACATAGTAAAAGCATATGTAACCCAGGCTTCAGAGATGGCTTTTTCTCCTTTTTATAAACAACCTAGGTTGTTTATAAAACAAAATATTTCATATAACATCATAGCCATTATAAACTTAGGTTGTTTATAAAGTCTGATTTAACTTTCTGCCTGTGACACAGAGACAGTAAAATGAAATCTATAAAAGTGACACTACTTGGTGCCTCATCTCCAAGTATATGAGGAAGAGGCAGGATCTAAGGTTTTTCATATGCATACTTCAGTGCCTGGGGATCAATAGGTAAAGGCTTTGGAGTCAGACAAATGTAGATTTGAATGCTAGCTCCCTGCTTAATAGAAAGTTAGTGTGAGCAAGTAACTCAGCCTCTTAGTGCATGGGTTTCCTCAACTGTTAGGGGGAATAATAGTGTACATTGTTCTTTCTGTCTCCTATCTAAATTGAGTCCCATTACCTACCTTTCATATAACATAACATCATAGCCATTAATACTGTTCAGCTTTCTACTTTCTAGGCATATTATAGGATTGCACTTCATGGCCTTCTTTAAAGTTAGGTATTGCCATGTAACCATTTTGGCAAATGAATTTTCACTTACAGGTGAAAGATTTAATTACCATTGTGATACCCACCAGAGCTCACCTACCGTCTGGCACCATGACCAATAATATTTGAGTTGGTGGTTGGCTCCACTGACCCCAGGAACGTGAGTGACTGGAGTGAACAGAGTTTCTCTGCCAATCTGTGACAGACTTGTAACACAAGCAAGAAATAAAATATTGCTTTGAACTGCTGATATTGGGGGGTTGTTTGTTATTGCAGAATAACCTAACCTATCCTGAATGATACAAATAGTAAATCGATAAATGCAGTTACCTGAAGAGGGCTTGAAAGGCCCTTGAAAAACTTTGTCTTATTTATTATCTTATTAATTCACCTGCCACAAGCATTTACTCAGCAATGAATATGGGCCAGGCTCTGAGTATACATTAGAGCAGAGCCCTTGGCGTCAGGACCTTCCTCCCTGGCACACAGGCCCTATCTTTAGATATTCTCTCTCCTAAACCATACTCTCAACTAATTCATCTAGTAGAACTAGTTATCAATTTCTAGTTTTTTAAGTTGTTCATGAGAAAACAATGACTTCAGGTACAAGAAGCAAGAATTGATCTGCTTACATACCACTCACCTCCTCACCAACACATCTTGCTTTTTCATGCCTCTGCTTAAGCTGGATTCTCTGCATCTTCAAATGCCATATCTTCCATGAAGCCTTTCCTGTGGATCTCTCCTAATTCATATAATTCCACTATTCAGTGGCTACATCCTGCCTTGAGTAGCACAGTAGAGAAAGAACAAACTTTGGAACCAGATGATCCTGTGTTCAAGTCCTAGCGTTGCCCCTCCCTAGCTGAGGCTAGAAATCTTTCTTTCGTTGAACACTTATTATATCTTGGATATTAGAAATCATATCATAAAAATTTGATTCTCACACTTGCCCTTCAAGATTTATTATATACATAATCTTTTACAGAGCAAGTCAAGCAGAGAGAGAAGTAAAGTGTAGCAGGGATTCACACCCACATCTGAACATTTCAATTCTTTTACATAGTTTTTCACTGTGTGGTCTATATATTTGTTTGCTCTCTCCTTTTTTTAATATTTAAAAAGATTTGTATTTTTAAAAAATTATTTCCTTTATGTAATGCCTTTAATCACCTCTATTTTGGAAGGGCAATTATTGTTGATTGTCCTTTCAATGAACGACATTGACTTTATCTGATAACTTCCTCCTCCCCTTCCTCTCCAGCATCTGATTTGAAGCAATATTCTTTCACTCTCAGTTAATAACTATAAGGCAATCAAGTTTATTCAGCCTTATAATTATTCCCCCATTCCCCTTCCATCGTTATACTGTATATTTATTTTAAAGGCACATAACCATTATAAACTATATTCTCTCCTTATAACCATCATTTAGTCTTAGTTCTAAAAGTAAATATGTACTTAGTGCTTACCACCTTTCATGTCAGTGTCTCACCTTCCATGTTGGGTTGTCTGAAGTATGCTCCCTAGCAGATGCCTCAGAATATTCTCATGAGAATATTCCCTGTGTTCTTCCATGTTGATAACATTTTGTCTGTGGTCTTTATACTTGAAAATCAGTTTGGCTGGTAAAATCCTTAGCTAACATTTCCTTTCCTTAGGTATCTTAGGTATGTTGTTACTCTAATCTTCTGGCAGAAGGTGCTGTTGTCAAAAAGTCTGATGACAATCTGACTTTCTTTGTCTTATAAGTGAATTTGTCTTTTAGCCTGGACGCCTCAAACATTTTTTCTTTAAAATTCACTAATTTTACTAGAATATGTCTCGGTGTTGATCTTCTGGGGTGACTACCCCAGGTTTGAAGTGTACTCCATTAACAGTCTCAAACCTTTTTATTTTTTCAGGAAAGTTTCTTTTTTTTTTTAATTATAGTTATTTGCATTTATTCTCCTCCATTGCCTAACTTTTTTCCTTCGTCAGGAATATGAATAATATACCTTTAGATATTTCTTGCCTGTCTTCTATATTTGTCATTTTCTCTTGACTTCTTTGATTTCTCTTTATTCATTCTGGAATTAAAATTTTTTCCTTCTTTTCACTTTATAGTCCCTTAAGGCTTTATCTGTTGTGCAAAAACTATGTTACTCTGATATTCCATCTAGTTCAATCTTCATTTATGAAATGAGTTTTCCTTTTTCTTTCCAATTCTTTCCTGAGTTTTATTACCTAATTTCTGTTTTCTAATTCTGATTTGTGATTTTCTTTCATTCCTTGTACTATTTCCTTAATTTACTTTAGCTCATTTTGAAATGTTATAGTTTTTATCTGGTTTGTGGACATGTCTTTCTGTAATGCTTTCATTCATTATGTTCCTTCTCATTTATTTTAATAATAACTTCATTATGAGATTTGGCTGCAGTCCTTTGGGTAGCAGGAAAATAATTTTCCTACACATTTAGGAAGAAGGGATAAGTCAGGATAGCTCTGCTAAATTCAAGGCTCTACAGCTTCCTTTTCTATGTTTTTATGAAGTGTTCAAAAATATGGCTTCAGATGTTCTACGATTTCCTGGCTCTGTTCCCCATCCCCATTCTCATCTGGACTTCCCTTTCCTTTTCCCCAAATGTCGCTGGCCTACCCTATTTGTATTCTCTTCCCTGCATTTTTTGCTCTGGTGTTCTGGCAAGATACTGTGTCTCGTTTTGAGAGGTCACAGCACCTGGACTGCTCCAGCTTCTTCAGGCTTTATTTTAGATCCTTTGCACTTATCAGCTGCAAACTGGGTTATAAAAAACTTTCTCCACACACACACACCCTACAGTACCAGCTGCTGTTCTCCTCTGTACTGTCCAGGGAGTTCCTGCTGGCTATTTTGGGGTTCTCTTATTTTTAGATTTCTCAGAGGCCCTGTTGCTTCCCTCTGTTCCTTATACAAAAATGCTGATACCATTCAAATCTTCAAGCTGCCAGTAGTTTCCGGTTACTCGAATTCTGGGATTTGGGGTGATACATTGTCACCCAGTTTTGTTGTGGATGTTGTCCCTAAGTTTTTGGTTTTACTACCCAGTTGCTCTATTTTTATGCGGAAATTCAGGGAGATTCAAAAACTATGTTACTGCCACTGCCATCTTCTTTTTTTTTTTTGCCAGAATTCTTTGTTCTCAATTCTTTATATGATGCCAACCAGTGAAATCAAACTGACAATGGACAAACCACCATCCATTAACTTTTCTAAAAGTAGGGTCTCTAAGTATAATAGTTGTCTCTCTAAAACCCATTCTGGTTTCATTGAGGGTGAGAGTGTGCCCAGCTAAAGAGTATTTCTCAGCCTACCTTGCAGCAAGGGGTGACCCTGAGATACAGTTCTGACCAATAACATATAAGCCCCATTGAGAGTGGCATTGGAGAAAGATCATTAAAAGGCAGGTCAACTCAACAACCAACCCCTTTCGCCCTTTCCATTATTCCTACATGTCGAGAGCTGAGCTGGAGAGAGTTGAGTTGCCAGGTGTCTGAGTAGAGTAGAGAAAATGAAAAGTAACGGTCAAGACTTTAATCATTCACTGTGATAGTATAAACAATAGACTAAGAGAAAGTGCTGGCTCCTCTAATGTTCCATTTTTCTCAAATACACCCATATCCAAATGTACTAGAAGGCATTCCATCGTGGAATTTGAGTGACTGGACTGTTTTCCCCCTCTCCAGTGGTCTGCTTAAACAAAAGTTGGCTGGGAATTAAGGGAAGATCATGGCTATCGCGAATCACTCTCATCATGAGCACAAATGAATTGCTCTGAGTGGCTTTGTTGACTGTATTGAACAATAGTGAGTAAACTTTATTTATTACATAGGATATTTTACATAAACTTTATTTATTACATAGGATTTATTACATAGGATATTTTAAAGAACACAAATGAATAGCCAGATGAAAAGATACATAGAGCGAAGTCTGGAAGGGTCCAGGGCACAGGAGCTTCTGTCTCTCCCAGAGCTGGGGTACACTTTAGCACATGAATGTGCTCACCAACCTAAAACCTCTCCAAACCCATTCTTTTGGGATTTTTATGGAGGCTTCCTCACATAGGCATCATCTACCAATTTCACCCACAGCTTCGAAGTTTCTCTTCTTGCTAGTTTTATTAGAATTGTGGACTTAGAGACTAAAGCCACAGAGAAATGACAACCTCAAATTTGTCTCTTTCAATGTTAAGTATTTATAGACTTAATATTTGGGGATTACTGTAAGTCATTATGTAAGAAGATGGGAAAAGGTTTCTGTACTTTCACTCTTCATCTTATAAAAAGATTAAGAGAAACTTAAAAAAAAGAAATCAGTGCCAAGTGAGGAGGGGGGTCAGGTAGACTAGTGCAGATGTGGGGACTGTCTCACTGCCAACGGATCCCTGAACAAAAGGCTCCTGTCATTTTATAGACCCAGGAGGCTAAAAGGAGGGAAAGA